CTCCTTCCCTTGCAGGTGTGTGCGAGAACAGCCTGGACGGGCTGGTGTTCGAGTCGCTGATCCCCCGGCCCATCCTGCAGCGCTACGTGTCCCTGCTGATGGAGCACAGGAGGATCATCCTGTCGGGCCCCAGCGGCACCGGCAAAACCTACCTGGCCAAGAGGCTGGCCGAGTTCCTGGTGCTCAGGGAGGGCAGGGAGCTGGCTGAGGGCATCATCGCCACCTTCAACGTGGACCACAAATCCAGCAAGGTGAGCGCGGCGCCGTGTCACGATCCGCTTGAGTTGCGCGGGGGTCGTGATAGGTTCTTTTTGGAATCTCAGAGTGCAAAAGAAGACGAGAGGGCAAATATATATGCTTCAAATAATCAGGACCAATTTATTTGGGTATTTTGAGATAGAGGAGGGTGAGAGAGAGAGAGAAAGAGAGAGAGAGAGTGGGTTATATAGCTACCAACACGGCTGACGAGGTCTTCCGAGGTCCCACGGTGGTCGTCAGTCTGTCGGGAGAGATCTCCACTGTTGTCTTCTCGGGGGAGATTTTTTATAGTCTTTTTCAAAGCGAGTGGCTGCAGGCCAGGAGGGGGGTTGCAAGTCATGGGTCAGCCGCGTGGAATTGGCTCGGACTTTTCCCCTCCCCAAAGCAGGTGTGCAATAAGTTGGGCATGGTGATCTGATGGAGATTCGTGGGGCATGGAAAGAATAGGGGGTGTACTTTAAACAGAAGCCAGTGATGCATGGGGAGGACTTGCTTTCCCAGAAGTCGCAGACCCCCTTCAAGAGAAGAGTTCCCCCCGCCCTTTCTTCTTCCACTCGGGTTTTTGGGGTGTACATTGATAATCATGAGACAGTCACGGATCTTTAGTCTCTTACACCCCACAGCCTGGGACTCCGTTCTTCAGCTGCCATCTTGGCCTGCTCTTGCTTTGCCAGGCCTCATGTGGATGCTGAGGGAATTATTATTGAATATTCTCAAACCCACCTGCCTGTGGGCCTGTTTAAACACCCACAGGGGCCGTGAGAATTGCCCAGGAAGTTCAAACACCTGCACAAAATCCCCGGAGATTTGAGCAATCTCTTTTCCCAAAGGGCTCCTGTGCATCTCCAGGCCGTCAGGAGCTGCTGTGCTGTTGTGCAGACATGTTCCTGGGCAGAAAGGGTGTGTCTCTGCTTATTGATGTGCTCCTGCTTTTGCTGAACGCACTCCAGTGATCATCCAGATTAAAGTATAGAAAGNGAGGGCATCATCGCCACCTTCAACGTGGACCACAAATCCAGCAAGGTGAGTGTGGCCCCGTGTCACGATCCGCTTGAGTTGAGCGGGGGTCGTGATAGGTTCTTTTTGGAATCTCAGAGTGCAAAAGAAGACGAGAGGGCAAATATATATGCTTCAAATAATCAGGACCAATTTGTTTGGGTATTTTGCGATAGAGGAGGGTGAGAGAGAGAGAGAAAGAGAGAGAGAGAGTGGGTTATATAGCTACCAACACGGCTGACGAGGTCTTCCAAGGTCCCACGGTGGTCGTCAGTCTGTCGGGAGAGATCTCCGTCGGGGTCTTCTCGGAGGAGACTTTTTATAGTCTTTTTCAAAGTGAGTGGCTGCAGGCCAGGAGGGGGGTTGCAAGTCATGGGTCGGCCACGTGGAACTGGCTCGGACTTTTCCCCTCCCCAAAGCAAGTGTGCAATAAGTTGGGCATGGTGACCTGATGGAGATTCTTGGGGCATGGAAAGAATAGGGGGTGTACTTTAAACAGAAGCCAGTGATGCATGGGGAGGACTTGCTGTCCCAGAAGTTGCGGCTCGGACCCCCTTCAAGAGAAGAGTGTCCCCCCCCCCCCTTTCTTCTTCCACTCGGATTTTTGGGGTGTACATTGATAATCATGAGACAGTCACGGATCTTTAGTCTCTTACACCCCGCAGCCGGGAACTCCGTTCTTCAGCCGCCATCTCGGCCTGCTCTTACTTTGCCAGGCCTCGTGTGGATGCTGAGGGAATTATTATTGAATATTCTCAAACCCACCTGCCTGTGGGCCTGTTTAAACACCCACAGGGGCCGTGGTTTGCAAGGAGCCTGAGAGTTGCCCAGGAAGTTCAAACACCTGCACAAAATCCCCGGAGATTTGAGCAATCTCTTTTCCCAAAGGGCTCCTGTGCATCTCCGGACCGTCAGGAGCTGCTGTGCTGCTGTGCAGACATGTTCCTGGGCAGAAAGGGTGTGTCTCTGCTTATTGATGTGCTCCTGCTTTTGCTGAACGCACTCCAGTGATCATCCAGATTAAAGWATRGAAARRAAAAAAAAAAAAAAAAASCAGTATATTTGATGGCCTTAGGCGTATTTTCCTCTGGAGGAGAGGAATGGTTTAAATTGTGGTTGTGAGCCACTGGTATGATTTCAGACATGGATTTAAAGCTGCTGAGAGCATTTCAACCGCAAAAAGCTCATCGTCCTTTCACAGTGTTACTGAGGACATCCAAATGTCCAAATCCACTTTGTTCAGATTAATTTCATCAGCGATGTTTTGATGGAAACACGGTTGCAAGATGGTGTCACAAATCTGTCTGGAATGCATAGTTTGGTTTRGTGTTGAACAAGTTCCTGAAAAGAAACTAAATTATGTTTCAGACCTCTTGGGTCTGACATTGATGAATGAAGAAACCAGACTAAATGACAAAATATTACCCCCTTYAAGCCCTTATCTCACACAGGATTTCTGAAACAGTCTCTGAATCCTCAGCATAACCTACAAAAGAGAAAGAGAACYGTATCTTGCATTTTCTTGTGGAAAATGTGTGATTTGTTAGATGTCAGGCTCTTTTGCTTTAGTTTTGTTATTAAGCTTCTTTATCTTAATTGGATTTTCAAGGAATATGAAGAATACTGTATTGATTCTCATTTTTTTTTTCTTTTCTTCATATCTGCTTTGCAGGAACTCCGCCAGTACCTGTCCAACCTGGCAGACCAGTGTAACAGTGAAAATAATGCTGTGGATATGCCTCTTGTCATCATTTTGGATAATTTGCACCATGTCAGCTCCCTGGGAGAGATCTTTAATGGGCTCCTAAACTGCAAGTACCACAAATGGTAAAGAAATAATAGCAGCACACATTGCAAATGTTARTCCTGCATTGAGAGCACTGCTGGTRCAAAAGCCARTCACAAAACCAAAGTCTGCATTAATTTGGGAGTGTGGAGGAAGATGACCGGGTTGTCCATGTTGTGGGCAGTGCTTCAGAGGGGTTTTTTTTTCTTCATGAAATGATCCATTTTTCTGAAATAAGTAATTTAAGGGTAGTAGAGGGTTTGAGTAATTTGCATTTGCTTCATGACATGGCTTTAGTGGTAAAATCCCATTTGTAGTGAAAGGTCCTGTTTTGGGATTTCTGGTTTGCTTTCAGAATGTGATGTTCTCAGAAATCAGAATCTCAGTAGAGAATTTGGTTATAAGTAACTACAAAACTTTCTTTGACAGGAGAGTTTTGAATAACCTTTAACATTCAGATTTTACTTAAAATTTGTTTTTCAAAATTTACATCTACCATTTGCTTGAATTGTTTTTTTCCTAACAGTCCYTATATTATTGGCACAATGAACCAAGCCACCTCCTCCACACCTAATCTTCAACTTCACCATAATTTCAGGTACTGCTTATTCGTGTTTCTCATTTATGTTTGTGGGCTGGCAAGGGGGTAATGGCTACTGAGTCACCTGAAATTCCTCTTATTAGCTGAAATAGCAAAATGAGATAGAAATGCCATTTTCTCCTGGTGGCTGCCCCAACATGTGCAGCGTGGTTATGGTGCTGTCACTAAAGGAGCTGGGTTCATAAAACTTTMACTTCACAGGGGATTGTTAAGATATTTGATCTCCTACCAGATTTGCATTAAGACAGCACTCAGGCCAAGCAGATTAATGAGSAATGAGCTGAAACAATGCACAATAAAAATCGGTTCATCTGCTAAAATATTCCAAAGTACCTTCTGAAAAGCATGTGTGACTGCAATAACCCATTTTGATCCTGATAATCTGGAAATAAGAAGAGAAATGTAGTGAAATAGAGTAGCATTCAGAAGCATAGAAGAGCACTGATGGGCCTTTCTGCTGTTGTGCCATAGATGGGTGCTGTGTGCCAACCACACCGAGCCAGTCAAAGGCTTCCTCGGCCGCTTCTTGAGAAGAAAACTGATTGAAACAGAGATCAGTGGCAGGATGAGGAATGCAGAGCTGGTTAAGATTATTGATTGGATTCCCAAGGTCTGGCAACACCTGAACAAGTTCTTGGAGGCTCACAGCTCCTCTGATGTTACTATTGGTGAGTGCTCTGTCCAGACATGTGTAAATATATGTAATTTATTTCTTTGTGTATCAGGTGTATCTTTGTGTACTTCCTTGTGCTGTATCACATTWAAAAGGTGTTTCTTTGAAACCCTACTTTTAGATATTATAGCTCCTGTTTTTGATGCTTATCATGATTGAGATTTGAGTGTAATATCTAAATTTCCCTCTCTAGGTCCACGGCTCTTCCTCTCCTGCCCGATAGATGTAGATGGTTCCAGAGTTTGGTTCACTGACCTGTGGAACTACTCCATCATTCCATATCTTCTGGAGGCAGTTAGAGAAGGGCTGCAGGTGAGCAGGCAAAAGGGGAAAATCATAGGTTTAGAATGGTATCTGTTCCAAAGGAACAGAACTCAGTGGTGGGAACATCTTCTGTAGATACAATTTTGCACACTGAATGTCTGTGTGTCTGTGAAAACAGAACCAGCATTTCAGGCAGAATCAGTCACTCCAAGCATTGTGGAAATCAAGTGGAAGAAGTGGTTAGGTGCCAAGCTGCTGATGTGTGTCAGTGGGGGGAGTCAGACATACAAACACCTTCCATTCTGTCTTCCACAAACACACCTTCAAATTACCCTGTGCATCAGAAAAATACACTTGTGGTCATTAACTTCGTGGTCATTAACTTTGTTACGTGGGATTTTCCTTTGGAAATCAAATCTTTCAGCAGAAGAATAACACTGTGTAAGGAGAGAAACCTTTTCATGAGTGGCAGGATCAGTATCAGTGACATTTGGATTACTTCTCAGTAGACAGGGTGATATTTTTTAGTTGATTCCTTCATCATTCTTTCAGAGGATGGAGTGAAATCATCACTGCTTGCATGTGCATAGTAACTGATTCATGCTCTGGCAGTTTGGAATGGTTTTAAGCATTGCCATACAATTCTTGTTGTCTGTGTGACTATGAAGCTTGTTGGAATCGGGTGCAGGGCTCAGCAGAGTTGTTGTGGTCTTTCCATGCAAGTAGGGGAAAAAAAACTTTCTAATTCATCGGTTCGTTCACAGAACAAAAACCTAATTTAAAATATAGTTTGGAACTAAGCTTTTACAAAGCCCTTCTTACAAGTCTCTGAAACACATGAATTCTTCAGGTTTTGGTAAAAATTTGGGCAAACTGCGACTGCCACCTGTAATTGGAARTCAGTACTTGGAGACAGCACATTTTTTGGGCCAGTTGTGGCAGGCTGTTTGACATGAGGATGTGACAGGTCCTGGAGTACAAAACACACTCAGGAGCTTTGCTGGAAATAGAACAGGAGGARCCATTTTATGTAAAACTTGTTATAAAGGGAGGTAATGGGGGCCAGTAACCTTTCCAATCTAAAACAAGAGAAAGTGGAGCAGGTGACTTTGTTTCCTCTTGGAATGGAGGAAACTGATACTCACAGTAATGCATGGGCTCTTTGTGCTGGGTTTTGGCTCTCATGTCACTGATCAATGTGGAAAAGCACTGAAAAATGAGTCATGGAAGTGGAAAGAGAGCGAGCAGTTGATAAAACCATCCTTTTGCTTGCTTGTTGTGCCCATTTTCCCTTAGGTTATTTGAATGGCTTGTGTTCCAGGTGTAAGGACTTCAGTTTCCCACTTTGTGCTTTAGATTCTTTACCCAATTCAGTCCCACGAATTCATCTCTATTWAAATAATTTCTCTTTTGTTTAGTTGATGGATAAGAAGATAGACTTTAGTACTTGAAGAGTAGCCAGGATGGTGCTAACAAGCATGCTAAGACTAGAAATGTGGGTTTCATCTGGGGCTGTTTTCTGTTCCCCACACCCACAAAGACTCCTCTGAGAGCACATCTTCTTTCCTGAAGCTGCCTGCCAGAAAGGAAAGGTGGGCTGCAAATTTCACCCTGATCTCTGGGGATCTGCACTGAGCTATTTTTGTATTTCTGTTTCTCATTTAGAGCATTATTCTGRGAAAAATAAAAACAAGCCAAACAGATCCTTACAATAATTGCTCCTGTGAGAGCTGACTTGTTTTGTTCTTCAAAACAGGGATGTGAAAATCAGTAGGTTTTATAAAACTTGAGTTCTTCCTGCTTGGTGTATCAGTACAGAGGACCCAGAGCCTCTGTGTCTTCCTGCCACTATCACTCATACTCCAGGGGTTTTGTCTTTCATGCTTTGTGGAGCAATCTGTTCCACCTTTGTCCCATGAACTGCTCCCTGGAGAACGTACCAGTGGCAGGACAGACCTGGTTGTCATGGAAGAGGATGGTGAGACATTCAATCTCCTGAACGAGGATCCACTCAGACTTTCGAGGGAGAAAAGACATGAAAAATATAAAATGCTCACCACCTACCAAACAACGTGGATCATAGTGAATCTGAGAGCAGGACTGAAATAGGAAATCTGGTTTGCCACAGCCTGAGGCCGTTGTGCTGGGAAGATAAAGCAGCAGGGCTGAAGGGTGAAGGGTCTGGGCTGTGGAGGAGGCTGTGTTTCAGATTGCCKRGCACCATCTGCTGGWKCYTCTGCTCCCTCCTGCTTCCCAGCACACAGTGTGGTGTTCAGAGCAATTCAGTTCTTGATGCAGGCAGAATCTAAACCCACCAAAAACATGCCAGGAGCAAACAGTGCTGAGCAAAGTCTGATTATCTCAGATCTGTCAGAAACTTGGTGAATTTCTTTGCACATTCAATGTCTGCGTGTCTGTGAAAATGGAAYCAGAATTGTCAGTAATTTCAGTCAGAATTTTTAATCTGAATCAGAATTAGAATCAGTGACTTTTAAACAGGGTGGGAGAAGCGATTAGATGGCAAACTGTTCATGTTTTCATCAGTGGGGGGAGTTGGACATCTAGGAATAGTTTCTGCATTGCGTTTCTCCTTGTGCAGGGGGATAAAGGAAGGGGACACTTCTCTGAATTCAAGTGACAAAATGTCAGAGACARACTCCGGTTGCTGAAGGACATTGATGGCGAAATTTAGAAAGTGGAAATAAACATTTTAAAGCCACTTGAAGTTGTATTTTTGTGCTTTTGGAAGTCATGAGGCATTAAAATGAGTGTATTGTCTAGCTATAGCAAATGGAATCTAACAGGGAGGGTATATTTGGATTCAGTTACACTATCTGTTCAGTACAGAAAAACTGCTTTTCAAACAGAGCTTGCTTGCTTAGAAACCTGACCACAGGCAAATGCTGCTGGTGCTTTTTCTTGGTTGAATACAAAAATAYCTGTATTGAAATCTTTATGCCTTGACATCCATCGTTGTGGCCTGGTGACAGATCTCCTGTTTCCCCCTCCACATTCCATGGCTGGCACTTTGTGAGACAGCTGCCAGTGCAATCCAGATGTCAGCACTGATGGCTCCTTCAGTGCACTGACGTTGTTTCAGCTGACTTTATCCAGTGATGTTCCTTTCAGGCTTTTCCTCCCTCAGCTGTGCCAGGAGCAGGGCACTGCAGTCT